TTATGTCTAAATTTACGCAACTATTTTTCCTGTTCATCATCTGACGCCATATGCTGCTATTTTAGTAGCAACGACTCAATTTTGAATCGGTCCCGCCGACTGCACAATAAAAGAAGATAGATACAACACTTTTGCGGCATCACTGAAAAACTTATGCAGTACTGTTATCAAAATTATCATAACACCGTTCGACAAACCTGAAGTCTTTTGAAATAAATATGCTTGTATTTTTCGCTTCAGGCTCTGACGCCAAAATAATGAATTTCGTAGTCGCAATCGCAAGATTTGGCTGCGTTTCTGGCGCATGCCGTTCATTTGTGGCGCAAAATAATACTTGGAAACAAAGGAGAGTAGGCACTAACCCGGTTTACATAGGGTTCGTTGCAAGCTTATATCTCCGTCCGTGATGTTGCAAAAGATGCCAATGGTGCATAACAATTTAGAAAATGATCCCCTCTAAATATCTGAAGAACACTGCATCGAAATTATCGCCAAATTAACGAGCTAGAGCCTCGTCAAATATGCTATGTAAACTGGGTTACTATGTACCCCCGAATTAGAATCTAATTAATTCTAAACCGAATTAACTCTAATTCAAATTAGAATCCTTACAACCAAGCAACGACAAGGCGATAACATAAACAAAAACCCAAGCGTCGCTGTTTGAAACAAAAGCGCCATATACTGCGACTTTTTCATAGAGAAGGACAACGTATTTCGGTGGGTGTTACAAGTACTGCAAGTACTGCTTCTTTTTTGCAAAAATAAAAACCTTTTTCACATACGAAAATGTGCTAGGAAATTTTCATATTTTATAGAAACTACAGTAGAAATACTATAGATGTTGAGTAATTTTTATTTAAGAAAAAAGAAAGCTCATTATCTCCCTTTAAAAAGCACACACACACACGCGGCAGCAATCTGGTACCCAGGTATGCGAGCCCACACATACATCTCGCATGCCGGAAGAGCAATTCCGTTCTGACTGAGCGCGGCACGGGGCCCATTATGACAGCAGCGTTGACCTTATCTCCTGACAAGTGACAGATGGGTCATGGGTGAGCGCCCAGCGGGAGACCTGTCCCCACTGACCGACGAGGGTGGGTGGCAGTCGGGAGACCGGGAAAGGGATGGCGGACGTACGACGGACAGGGGGTGATGGGCAGTGGCAGACGCAAGGCCATATGGTGGACGGCAGACGAGGCAGACAAGAGGCGACAGGCTGACTGCAGACAGGGGGTAGCAGACGGAGCAGTGACAACGGACGGTGGGTGACCGAGGGGAGGGCTAGCGAGAGGCGATGACAGACAGGGGGCGAACGGCACTGGACGACAGGGAGAGAGGTGGGCGACGGGGATGGCATCTGACGACGGCGGAAGACATTATATGGGACGGTAGGCGTGAGACGAACGGTAGACGGCAGACAGACGCGAGACAGCGAGCTGCGGGAGACGGATGTCTTCACCATAGCAACGACAAACAGCGAGACGGATGCTGCCTTGTCTCATGCCTTGCCTGAGCGATAGTGCAATACGTGTCGTCTACACTGGACAAATCTGTGTGTAATTGTACGGGGTCACTGTCCGACCAGTCGTGATTTCAGACCTTGAGATGGCTGATGACCGAGCTACCGGGAACAACGATGATAATCCTTACTCTTGTGAAGTATCCACTGCATATTCGAAAGTGAGTGGCAAAACTACAACAAAACAAGAGCAAACTAAGACGCAGTCATGAACGACAAAAAAGAATTAAGCTACTCTTCAATATCGCTAGATAGAGCACGGTATGACATTTGACTAATTCGAATTATATAACTGGTTTCGATTTCTGCTTTGATAATATGACTATTTGGCTTTAAGCAATGGACAATCACGGCATTATAGTGTTCTTAAGTACAAAGCTTTGACAAAATATTTGGACCATGTTGATCCCATTAAAAAAACTACACTTTGCAGCAAAACGACAGGAGTTTAAACAGCATTCCAATATGCGGAGTAGCAATGCTATGGCATTGCCAGACCGAAGGTTTGAAGGAATAGCAAAAAGAAAAAAGAAAAAGTATCCGGATATTTCCATCCAGAAAAAGAGCGGCTTGTCTACTCGATAAATTCCACAGTTAGTCATATAGTTTGGGCTACTAAATTTGCTGAATGAACGCTCAAACGTTCACAAATTAGGAGCATGCTGTGAGGATATGCGGTTAGCCGCTATATTTCATCCGTGCAAGACTTGAAGCTTGTGCAGCGGGAATGATCACATCATAAATCACAGCTTGAGTGGGCTCAACCCCTGCCTTTGATCGTTACGGTTCATTTATTCACACTTTACGGAGAATAGCATAACAACACTTCTGCTAATGCACTTTTACTCGGGATCGTTGAAGTCGTAAATCGTCATTAACAACGGTGTCAAAGAGGATATGGTGTGAGTTGTTTAACCTGGAAAAATCATCATTTGAATGACTCTGAGTGGCAAAGTGTCATTTTGTTGGCCAATGGTCGACGAGGAACGACGTGAGGATGTCGGATAGTTAGTCGATGCACTACTTGAGATAGTTTTATAGGTAAATAATTATTTTTTAGCATGTAACATAGTTGATTTTTTCGATAGACGTCACTATTAAATATTTTCATATCAACACAGCAAATCTGCGTGTGATATTTTGATACAATAAATATAGACGGTCATGGTGAAAAATATTACCCTCTCTGACGCCACTGTAGCCCGAAGGTGAAGACCTCAACAACCATTATAAAGCATATTTCGGTCTTCACCCTCGGGCTACAGTGACGTCATATCATGGGCAACAATTCTTACTATTGCCCGCTATCCCAGACAGTATTCATATACTTTCAAATGAAGACAAGATATTAAAAGCGAAGAGATCAACTGAAATCACGGTGGTGCAACGGCTATTTAGCATACAAAGCCGATATTAAGCCCGGCGATAACCATTCAAAAGGGTTCGTTAGGATCGCTCGCTTTCATCCAGTCCCGCCATTTATCAACGCATACTAATAAATGTTATCTGCCAGACGTCTACAGTTCAAATCAAATGAGCACGACCGTTTGTAATGTATCTCACTGAAGCATCTACGACGTTCAGAGGTTTTCCTATCGTAGTCAGAAAAAGTTGCGGAAAAAGGTGCAAATCATACGAAAAGAGGTCTGCTGAAAAGCCTAGGAAAATAGTTGTGTTTGTAGACAAATTCGTCCTACTGCTTGTCACACTGCTGTTTGACTTTTACTGAAATGCACAACGATTATTTGTGTTCATATTTTGGTTAGGAAAACATCGTGGGCTGGAAAAGAAGGATGGGTGCAATGGCCTATCTTCAGACAATACAAGATGTATCATCTACATACAACACTAAGCCAGTGGTTTAAACATTCTGCGAAATGCAATAGATACACTGCTGAAAAATATGTTGTTTTAATGCTGGAAAAGTAGCAACTCGCACAAAGTTGTTGGTATTACTTGTTTTCGATTAAAGCGACTTCACGCAATATCTTGACTGCTATACTATAAAGCATAATATAGGGTAACTATCGCAATAAACCATGACCTAGCTGCTATGCTAGGACCTCAATATCAGATATAAGCTATTAGTTGGCACCAAAAGAGGCGAGTCAGTTTCTGTCCCCATTGAAAGTGAACATAGCAGAAACACACCTACCGGCACGCAACAGTGGCGGAACAAAGAGTGCCGAGAGAGGCACTCGATATGCCCGCGAAAGGCTACGCCGCGGAGGCGGTTTCCGCTCCACGAGAGGACTCGAAGAGCGCCGACGTCGACAGTGAATAACTCATCGGCGTCAATAAATCTGGCGGCGCTGTGTGAAGACGAACCACTCTCGGCACCTCCCGAATGGAGTCGGCCGCCGCGCGAAGACGGCGGATATCGAGGGTGGAGGTGGTGAGAGCGTCGGGTAGGCTCCGTCGGTAGGGCTAGGTCCGCTCTGAGACTGGACTGTAAATGTCAGCCACAGCGAGTGGTGGCAACCGAGAAAGAAGATATGTCAGAGATAAAACATAATTGTATTGAAATATGAATGCTCATACTGAAGCAGCCTGGAAAACACTTAAGCGTGTTTCAGATACGGTAAATTGATTAAATAAAATATCAAATATTTTCGCTATCCAACCTTCCGTGAAACATAAACAATACGCAATTGCTACTAAATTTTGTAATTATCTTGGTAAACATTCAGTATCCTCTTACATAAACTGTTTTGGCTGCTTCATTATCTTAGCATATTGAATATGTCATGCCCAATGAAGACTTGCCGTAAAAAGGCTTGAAAAATAATAGCTCACACAGAATGCAACCTCTCAAAGTTGATGAGCACCTGTACATCAAGGGCGACGCCTACGGCACTTACCACGATACCGTTTGCCTCAAATGTACCAAAATGTGGTGGCCTTCGTCAGTATTCTAATAATCAGTGCTGCGCACTTGTTCATTTTGCTGCAAGTCACTTTGTGTCGTGTTAAACTTTTTTGAGCACAGGACACGAACAATTTGACCTTTGACAGGTATCCTGAGATTTACCACTGCCGCTGCGCACAGGCTTTGACAAGTGTGAAAACTGGACGATGGAATTAGACATGGAACTAGAATTAGACATGGAATTAGACAGATGGAGATATAAATATTTAATAGTGAAGTAGTCAAACAGTCAGGGGCGGATCCAGCTCAGAGTTTTTTTTTTTGGGGGGGGGGGGGGGGCAAACCATAACAATTTATCGATTCTTTCCATGCCTCGTCCATAGGCGTAATGTTAAAATTATGCCGTTTGGGAGGGGCAAATGCCCATTTCGCCCCCCTGGATCCGCCACTGCAAACAGTAGTCGGACATAGTTAGACAAGGGATGGTGAACCGTGGATGTCATCTAGAGCTCATCATTACCCAGATGTCAGGCAGATCTTTGGATATTTTGCTCAGGCATCGCAGCCACTGTGCACCAGTCAAAACCACTCAGATCCAGCACTCACCACTTTATCTCCGAGGTGCTGGATGTTGCAGTGCAGGTGAGCTGGTCGTCCCACTGACGCCACCACATGTCGTACGCTGTTGTTCATGAACACCGGCTGCAGCATGGAGGGGCGCTGCCACGGCGGACGGGACGGCGGCTCATCGGCAGTCAGAATTAGCGCGCCACCTGTCAGCAGAGGGGTGACAAACTTGTCAATCCAGCAGAGAGATGACGGAGCTGTCAATCCAACAGAGAGGTGACGGAGCTGTAAATCCAGCAGAGAGGAGAAAGGCCTGCCAACATGACACTTTTCACCGGAGAGGGATGACTCTTCTTCCTTATAACTTTAACTTATAAGCACATAAATGTATCGTAACTTGTGATTAATCTATAAATCCCTAATGCAATGCGTATAGAAAAGACCATCAAAACCAGTCACTGTGATATCATTAATTAAAGTCAGAATAGAACTCGATCGAAATTAGATCCAATCGGCGAATATTTTTGACAATTTTCCAGATGTCTCCATGTAGTTTGAAAAGTAACTAATGAGGGACAGTTCCAAGGTCTCAGCAGCTATTTGGTTTGTGAAGTGGTATCGAATGATATTTCTGTGGGCTTGGGGATACCTGTGAACCTGGAGCCTTTTTACACAAAACGTGTACCTGTGTAGCTTAGTGAGCCACGTCGGAAACTACAGCAAACATAATTGCTGACTGTCACTGGGTCACTGTCATCGCGCTGCTGATAGCCTGCCAGCGTTTTGAGGGACGCGTGAGCTGGACTACGACTCCCGTGCCTAGATGGCGCTAGTGATAAACGCCTGGAACATAGGCTGTGCCGCTCAACTTGAGGCAAGAGCTCAGGAGTAGTCCGTAAATATTGAGCTGTAAATATCCGAATAGTACCACCGTTCCGTGCTTCTATCCTCAGGATGCTGAAATCCTTCTCCTCCACGCCGCAACCCCCTCCGGGCTGGACAGGCAACTTTATCTCATGCGGGCTGCTCCCTTGGAGCGGCACCGCTGCTCCCGAGGGAGCGCACCCCGTAGCCGGGTGCAGTGAGTACCTTGGGGCTGGGTGGCCTGTCCTCTGGACGGGCTCAGCCCCGGTGACTCACTAGGGTGCCTGCCCAGACCAATGTCTCCCCCTATATCCTATCATCCTCCCGGCTCTGAAATGGTCCCATTGGACCGAAAGGGCCTAACCCAACAAAACAAAATATCCGAATAGTAAACTTTTGGCAGCGCACTGTAGTTCAAGTACTTATGGATATTGGATAGGACGTGAACAAGTGCAGTATACTGTCTAGGATGTGACGTGGCTTACGCTATCAAAAATAGTTTAAATTCGTCCACATGCATTATATGACCTTTGGTTCCAGAGTACTCAAATCCCACACCACCCAACAGCAGGGTTGATCTGCTCCAGTCAAATAAACATTAGTTTCATGATGCTGGAATTTCATACGGTATATAAATTGCTCTTGTCACATTCTACATTCAACATCAAGCATAATATACGTTCATATAGCTGTTTGTCCATGTACAATCTAACCGTTGACGACATCACTAAATCATGTCCAGCCTCGCCGGTTGTATTCCAAGTGTGCGTGTCTGAACCCTCCACCATTCCCTAATGTTCAGTTGCTCGTCCATAAATTTGGCACCACATCGTCAGGCAGAAACTCAACGAGACACGCTTCTCTAAATAATGTCGGCCGCACGCCGGAAAACTCGTATGCCGTCTGCTTTATCGAGACTGTGCTGCCGGCGGGGCCGTATTTCAGCGGCTACTGACCGCGGATCACGAAACGAACGTTTGCTCATCGACGGCCTGGCCACCGGCTGAAGAAGGTGCAGTGCAGACCGGCACACTAGTGCACCGCACTGCAACTGCCGTGCAGCTGGCGAATGCACGTGAGCGTGTGTACAGGCATAAGTGTATGCATAAACGCATGTTTGCAGACATGTGTCCATGCAAAATGTGGTTTATGACTACATGACTATGTGACTATATGACCCCGTATGTACGTACATGCTGCACATGACGGACTGTTGAAAGCTCTGCCGGTGCAATTGTTCTGACAGTAAGCAATGTATAGAACATAATATTTTGCTTTAACGGAAATGTTTGATATACGGTCCAGGGTGGTTCCTTTTTGGAGAGATATTTAGATATCGTTGCCCCTCACTTCCTGCGGTTGACGCACAACACGGTGAGGTATTTATGAACTAAAATAAACTAGGATGTTGGTTGTTCAAAGACTCACCTCAAGTTTATTCACTCTTCTTAAAGTATTTGCATCAGCAACGTGAGATATATGTTGTTGTTTTTTGCATATAGTAATGCATATTTTTTTGCTTCTTTTCATCTATGCCATCTTACATATATAAATGGTGGAAGATAAGATTAACTTCTATGGAAATGTTGGAGACTGTGCCATCTGTTTTGAGATGTCTGCTTGGGTCAAGAGGGATTTATGAGATCACAGACTCTGCGCGGTAAGTAATGGTCTCGAATGAACTCTGTCTCTGTCGGGCAGATTGTGAAATTCCAGCTCGGAGGCGAAATTTGTGGCGAAACTTTTCTCCCTCGAATGAATAGACCCGGTAAGCTCTTCCCAATAGCGTCATCTAATCTGGAGCGTAGCAGCGTCGACGGACTCTCTGGGCAGACAATAGCGCGGCGCTGGGGCGGACCAAGGCCGTGTGGATGGTCACAGCTTTCCTCGGCCGACCGGAGTCGCTCGCAGTCACGAGCAATGAGCGACTACCATTGCTCGGGATTTTGGGTGACCACGGTCGTCAGAATTCTGAGCTGTGATTGGCGCACCATTTGGGTCGGCCTTGACGAGTCGATTGCGTATTTGACATTTCCGTGTTCTGGAATCGAAACGAATCAAGTGAGCGCTCGAGTGGATATTGGACTCTAGTTGCGCATCTACTTGCATGCAATCGTCGAGGCTATGCGTGCGCTTACGTGATGAGCGATGACGTTATGCGAGCGTCATCAAATAATTTTTATATGGGAATAAGAAAATGATTTGCTTAGTTCACTCAAATTATAAGCACAAAATGTTGCCCCATTTCTCTCCAAAAATTATTCCATTGAAAGATGTGCCTTGCGCAATGCAAAAAACGAAAATGCCATTACAGGTCGACTCTTGACTTTCGGCTAGCACTGAATTTAAAAAAGACAGTTTTGATTAGAGAAAAAGAGAAAGAGAGAGAGAGAGAGAGAGAGAGAGAGAGAGAGAGAGAGAGAGAGAGAGGGAGACAGAGAGAGAGAGACAGAGACAGACAGAGAGAGAGAGAGAGAGAGAGAGAGAGAGAGAGAGAGAGAGAGAGAGAGAGAGAGAGAGAGAGAGAGAGAGAGAGAGAGAGAGAGAGATCCCAATACTATATATCAATTATTTTGAACATCCATATCCATCTAGTCAGATGAGCGCAAGCACACAGGTACCTCATGGCCTACACATGAAGTTAGGATGTCAGTGCCCCACATGGTCAAAGACTTAGGTTGATCCCAGCCTCCTCCACGGACAACACCTCGCGTTTGTACCCCGTAATGCCTTGGTATCGTAATAATACCCGGTAATGCTGAATTCAAATGAAACCAGCTTGCAGCTGCAGTCAGATAATTCTTCGCAATGTATTGTTCTAGGACTTCCAGAACTATAAATGAATATTCATTCTAGCACTTCAGTAGTATTGACTGCATTCGCACCATCCATTGACAATACTTTATGACTTATTAATTTCCTGTGACGGAGTTTATGGCTAATAAATTTTACTCTCTGAGTTTATGGCGTAAAACTTGCGCCCATAACAGAGAGCATCGGGCCGTCCTCTCAGTGTGGAGACTCGTGCTCCTCCTAAATGTGATGTATTGTGATCACCACCACCATCGTCGCGTGCGTCGAACCAAACATAAAGTATGCTCCTTCCAGCAGTAAATGTCAATTGAGCATCATCAACAGCAGATCAAGTCTCGGAGATATTGCAAATGAATACCGAAAGACTGAGAAATATGGCATGATTGCAAGTCCGGGAACTGCTTAATAATGTTGAGCTTAATACATTTTCATCTAAGACTTTTACATAGCAGATTTTTAGGAACATAGCAGACATGGTTGGTGATCATCACTCATGGCTATCCTACAAACTTACAAGTTATGTAGCAGTCCATGACATTGTATTTTGGGAAGACCCACTCTATTATCTCTTGAGAAAGGTCTGTTATGTATTCATTGTTCTTCCTGTCACGTTTTTAGTTTCGGTTCCAAAATTTCATCTAGGCGTGATGACAAATGAAAGCCATCATCGTTCTGTGTTCCGTGACGCAGAACAAGGCACATATGCATCTCATACGTCTCTGGCCCCGGCAACCACAGTAAAGTTGTTTGGTTTACCACCGACTGCGGGCACAGCTCCGAGGAGCTACGTCGCGCCCTGAGGTGTCCGAAGGCACACTGGAAACAAATGACCCGTCCGACCACAAACGACCTGAGCCAAACAAACGGGAACGCCCGGTGCACGACTCAGGTGGCTAGACTGACTGTGTTTCTACACATTATTATAGTCTGTGAGGCTATAGCGTAAGCAAACAAATTTGTTTCTATAGCTGTGAAGCTTGTAGCGTAAGCACATTTAGGATTTTTGGAAAAAAAAACATCTGTGAAAGTGAAACAACAGGTGTGTAGTGCGTTGCTCCAGGGAAGGGCTGGAAGTATTGATCTTTACGCACCGGTTGGGACCCCTTGGGAAGGCGTGAAGAGGAGATGGTGATGGGAGTGCCGAATGACACAGGTTTATAGCCATCCACGGGGAAAGGTGAGACAAAATTGATAACGCTGAATCCGTTGTTAAAACGTGAAACGAAAAACAGCGCTTCTAAAACGGAGGGAACGACTCTGCAAACACATAAAATCCTGACGATGTTATACGCTGCAACTGCTTCTTTTTTTCGTGCAAAGCACACATCCCTCTCTTGCAATACCAGTCACATCAGGAGAGGGCTTGAGAGACGACTTGGAGGTGCTCGAGAGGACACACCTGCCGTCGCCGCTGATCGCCACCCATTACAGCCCGATCCTCTCTACGGCCGCACTCGGTAATTGAAGTGGCCTCGTCCAATCGCCACGGCGCCGACTGCACTCCCGGCGAGGCCGCCCACCT